GCCTTAGCCACTTGAGCTACAGGCACCACCCCAAGTTCTCCAATTTTTAAAATAAACTATAGATAATTGATCCAGTTTGACATCAAAATTTATTTTCATTTTTTTTGAGACAGACTCTTATTTTGTTACCCTCAGTAGAGTAGTGTGGCCTCATAGCTCACAGCAACCTCAAATTCTTGGGCTCAAGTGATCCTCTCTTTTCAGCCTCTCAAGTAGGGAATACAGGCACCAGCCACAATGCCAGGCTATTTTTTTGAGACAGTGTCTCACTCTTGCTCAGGCTGGTCATAAATTCCTGAGCTCAAGCAATCCACCACCTTGGCCTTCCAGGGTGTAGGATTGATTATAGGTGTTAGCCACCACACCTGGCCTGATATAAAAGTTTAATTATTAGAAATCCATAAAATAACTGGGTATTTAAAGCATTCAGGTACTTGAACAAATTGGCAAAAAAAAGCCAAACAAAACAAAATATCCATCCAAATTGTCCCAATAGCATACAGTTGAAGAAATGCTTAATCCTTAGGTATTCAGTTACCTTGAATGAATTCCCTGATCTTCTTTTCTTTACTCTCAAGCAGTAACCTCACACAGACAGTGGTAAAGTATCGATTGGCCACCTCTTTGTCCCGTAAAACCCTTTGTAACAGTCTTTCCAGGTGAGCCTGTGTGGTCTGCAGTCCTTGTCGACAACGAGTGAGATAAGCAATATATGGGGCTCTTTTCCTAAAAAGAAAAATATTTTGAAGGACATTGGTCTATTCAGGGCACACTTTCTTTGAAGATTAAGGTTCTCACAAGGTTCCCAATCTTCTTTTCCTTTCTTTTTTTTTTTTTTGATAAAGGGTCTCATTCTATCACCCAGGCTGGGGTGCAGTAGTGTGATCATAACTCCCTTTATCCTTGAACTCCTGGGCTCAAGCAATCCTCACCATGTTCCATTAATTTTTTATTTTTATTTTTTTAGAAATAGGGGTCTTGCTATGTTGTCCAGGCTAATCTCAAACTCCTGGCCTCAAGTGATCCTCCTGCTGCAGCCTCCCATAATGTTGGGGTCAAGCCCCAAATCATGCCATAAGTTCCCTCTCAGTGGCTGAGACAAGAGGATGAGGGAAAAATGAAAAGTCAAGATACAAGGAGAAAGTTTTTTAAAGAGCAGCTGTGTTGAGGGACTGATCACCTCCGAGGGAGCCCTGAGGACCATGGAACAGTCTCTTACTCCAGGCCAGCTCCATTTTGCATATATCTTTGTTTTAATCATCAATCTAATGGGGAAAGCTAGCCCTTATGTCATGGTTCTTGCTGGGGATGCATTTTCTTTTTCCTTTTTTTTTTTAGAGACAGAGTCTCATTTAGTCACCCCCAGCAGAGTGCCATGGTGTCAGAGCTCACAGCAACTTCCAGCTCTTGGGCTTAGGTGAGTCTCTTGCCTCAGCCTCCCGAGTAGCTGGGACTATAGGCTCCCACCACAATGCCTGGCTATTTTTTTGCTGCAGTTTGGCTGGGGCTGGGTTTGAACCCACCACCCTTGGTACATGGGGCCGGCGCCCTACCCCTACTCACTGAGTCACAGGTGCTGCCCTGGGCTTGCAATTTCTTTTTTTTTGGAGAGAGAGAGTCTCACTTTGTCAGCCTTGGTAGAGAGCCGTGGCATCAGAGCTCACAGCAACCTCCAACTCCTTGGCTTAGGTCCCATGGGCTTGCACTTTCTAACCAAACTATTTCTTTAACTACATCAATTAGACTGATTTACCTTTTACTATTATTGCTCTAAGTTGTTTATGATCTTAAACAGCATGGGACAGGGAACACAGACCAGGAGAATGATGTCAAAACACACCCAATTAGACCACACACACAAATCACTCAAGAAGCCTTCTACTCAGAGGGACTGGCACTTCTGACCATATGGTGGTGACAAAAGAAAGGAGATATTTTTCTCCTTATCTAGTCCTGAGAGACCCTTTCTCTCTGTAAGTCTCCAAGAGCACTCACTCTCCAGCAAAATGAAGCCCTGCCCTGGTGAACAGGCCTGAAGCACAGTCTCCCTGGGGGAGGAGTAAAGTTCCAGCAAGATACCTTCCTGGTCTTAAAGGGCCAGGCTGAAGACAATGCATTTTGCATCAGATTTGGGGTTTCTCTGATCACTTCTCTCCATCTCTGTTCCCTTTTGCCCATCACCTACAATCATTTTCTTAATTCAACTCCTAACCTACGGCTTGGTGCCTGTAGCTCAACTAGCTAAGGCGCCAGCCACATACACCTAAGGTGGCGGGTTCGAATCCAGCCCGGACCCGCCAAACAACAATGACAGCTGCAACCAAAAAATAGCTGGGCGTTGTGGCGGGAGCCTGTGGTCCCAGCTACTTGGGAGGCTGAGGCAGGAGACTCGCTTGAGCCCAGGAGTTGGAGGTTGCTGTGAGCTGTAATGCCATGGCACTCTACCCAGGGGGGCAGCTTGAGGCTCTGTCTCCAAAAAAACAAAAAACAAAAAACAAAAACAAAAAAACTCCTACTTTCAACAAACAACCAAATATTCGTTTTAAGCTTATTAAATCATTATTACTAGTAATGCAAGCACATCAAAATGACTCTTTTTTAAAGCACTCACATGTACATCTGCACCAAAGTGCTGAGATTACAAAAGTACTGGCATGAGCTACCATGTGCCCCCAAGGTTCCTGATTTTACTTTCTTTCTCTCTTTTTTTCTTTTGGTTGAGACAGGATCTCACTCTATTGCCCAAGCTAGAGTTCCACGGCCTCAGCCTAGCTCACAGCAACCTCAAACTCTTGGGCTCAAGCAATCTTCCTACTCCAGCTTCCCAAGTAGCTGGGATTCCAGGTATGTGCCACACATCTGGCTAATTTTTCTATTTTTAGTAGAGACAGGGTCCTCCTTTGCTCAGGCTGGTCTCAAACAACATTCCTACCTTGTCTCCCAGAGTACTAAGTCAATTTTTTTTTTTCCAGTTTTTGGGCAGGGCTGGGACCACCTCCAGCACATGGGGCCAGCGCCCTACTCCTTTGAGCTACAGGAGCCACCTAGCCAATTTTTCTTTAAAAATAAACAAACAAACAAGCAAAAACCACAGATTTTTATTTTACAAATTGGGGATTAATCATGCTGTCAGCTCAACAAACAGACCCATTTGGCATGTCTGCATCATCAACACTCAGATACCTAACTCACTAAATGTTTTATACTGGAGGATAGTCTCCACTTTGGTAGAACCTCATAAGAGAAAACTGACTGCTACTGAAGATGAAGAGTAGCAACAAAATAAAGTTTATATTACTAGTTCATAAATATCTTCTACCAATTATCTGCTTTAAGTCTAAATGTAATAACCATTAGAGAGCACTGATTCCCTAAGCCTTGAAAAACCCCCTTACTTACTAAGCATCTCAGTTAATTTTTTTTCTTCAACTACTGCAATGGATTGGCAGCATAAAAACCACAGCGATTCCAAAGGCTACTAATACTTCTCTACTCCAGAACAGACTTTCCTATCACTTCTGAAAAAAGAAAAATGATATACTAGTTATCTTGGCTTCATAATATAAGCATATCTCTTTACCTACTTTTGTGTAAAGCAGAAATAAACTGTACTGCTCTATTAAACCTGCTTATAACTATACTTCTACACTTCTAAATACCCAAAATGTGTTGCTTAAAAATCTACATTTGGGTAAACATAGCCAAGCACTTTGTAGTAAACCTATATCCATTTCTGAAATAAGGACCTAAAAGAAAACACTCATAGCCAAAAACTAGGTGTGAAAGCTGAACAGGCTGGATATGTTACCTGTAGTCCTCAGCAATAGATGCCAGCAGTTTTCTACAAGTCCTATTATCAAAACGGCACACACAACGCATTGTTTCTTGAAGTTGAGCCATTAAGTTCTTATCTTGTAAGTTAATTGCTTCAGCTATTTGAACTTTTAAGAAGCATACAATTTCATTGTCTAAAATAAAACAATAAGAATTCTGTTATTACAGAGCATTTCTAAGGCCTAAATTATGTAAGCTGTATGTAGCCTCTCAGCATCTGGGATGTCAATTCTGCTTTATCATGTATCATTAGAATTAAGCTGTATTGCCACTCCCAATTAGAACAAAAACTTTAATAAGCCATCAGTAATCAAAATGCCCTTAAGTGACACTAATACAAATGTATGAAGTTGAACCATATGGAACTACTGTATAGCTTACATTGCAATTCACATGGTTCAACCTATAAATATAAGAAAAAATAAACCATCCTGCAGCAACTCACCTTCTGGGTCTGTGTGGTCTGGTAATCCATTCCTTGTTGAATGGGTCAGCACTGGAAAGGCAACAGAATCCGCAGAGCAAAGAGCAAGTCTCAGTTTCTTTTTTGCATCTCTGAAGAACAAGCAGAAAAATATGCTAATTTCTTTATCCAGGTAAGGTCACATTTTATGACTGCTTACAATATAAATTAACATTTTACTTTAGGACTCCAACATATCAAATGGTCATTTAAAAAAAGGTAATTTTTAACTTATTGCATCCCACTTAAAGAAAAAAAAAAATAGGCTTTCTAGTCACCCAAGAAGTAAGGTTATCAAGGGCTCAGGGAAAGCACTATACAAAGTGTCCATAAATTGCACACAAATTTTATTGGCCCCATGTATTATAAAGTTACCAAAATCAACCACACAAATCCTTCTGACCTTGTACCACATGCTGAGTTCTACAACAGGCACTAGGAGAATCAGGAAAGCACATTATACCAGGGTGGGGGGACCACAGAAGTCATTTTAGAACCACCCAAATTTAGAATGCCCTCTACCACATCTACTGAGAAATGCTGATTCTGCCACAAGACAAGCTCACTACCTGACAAGAAGCCCTCTCTATTGCTTGACTGCTTGAAAATGTACTCTGTTGAACCAAAATCTGCTTCCTCTTAACTTCTAACTACAGAACTACCTATTACCACCTGGTGATAGGACACTTTAAGGTGTCACCCTCCCCTGGCTCGGCGCCTGTGGCTCAAGCGGCTAAGGCGCCAGGTACATACACCTAAGGTGGCGGGTTCGAATTTAGCCCGGGCCCGCCAAAAAACAATAATGGCTGCAACCAAAAAATAGCCGGGCGTTGTGGTGGGCACCTGTGGTCCCAACTACTTGGGAGGCTGAGGCAGGAGACTCGTTTGAGCCCAGGAGTTGGAGGTTGCTGTGAGCAGTGAAGCCATGGCACTCTACTCAGGGGGACAGCTTGAGGCTCTGTCTCAAAAAAAAAAAAGGTATCACCCTCCCCAACAATGCATCTCTTTAGACCAGGAGACCATCAGGTTTCTTTTATCTGTTAGTGCCTATGTCCCTGTCTGGTTCTGTGAGGCATGGACTAGAACTTCTTGAGAATGTTTAGACTCGCCATCCAAATAAAGGAGTCTAAAGTAGTAAAGTCAACTGATGAATTTAGCAAAATAGTTTGGCTAGAAATAAAAATTCTGTCTGCCTCTTCCCACAATTTAACTGTAGGAAAAAACCTATAAAACTTCACAATATTGATAAATAAAATAATATGCTATTTAGTCTGCTTTAAAATAACTTGGGAGAGATAAATACTGAAGAGAGAGGACCGGGTGCAGTAGTTCCCAGCTGTAATCCTGGCATTCTGGGAGGCCGAGGTAGGTGGATTGCTTCAGCTTAAGACTCTGAAAACTAGCCTAAGCAAGAGTAAGACCCTGTCTCTACTAAAAATGAAAAGCAAGCCAGGTGTAGTGGTACGTGCCTACAGTCCCAGCTACTCAGGAGGCTGAGGCAAGAGGATTTTTCAAGCCCAGGAGAATCTGAGGTTGCTGAGAGCTATGATGCCACAGTACTCTACCCAGAGAGACAAAGTGAGACACTGTCTCCAAAAAGAAAAAAAAAAAAAGCTAAGAGAGACAGAGAACTTTGTAAGCCCACCAAGAGATAACGATACCTTAAAAGCAATGCTCCTTGTTTGTGGGAAACAGAAGTTCCTTGCCAAACAAAGGCAAAAATTTTAGGATCTTAAAGTCATGTTCTTTCGGCTCGGCGCCTATAGCTCAACCGGCTAGGGCGCCAGCCACGTACACCTAAGGTGGCGGGTTCGAATCCCCAGCCCG